TTTGCATTACGTTTTTCAAGTCTTTATTGGACACTGTCTTCTGTTAGCCACAAGGGTACTTTTGGTGATGTGCTTCTATTGATACAGTATTGATTACTAAATCCCTCCTTTACATTTGTAAAAACCGAGGAGAAGAATGTATTTATTACAGTTGCCTTCTCCTTGTCAGTGGTAACCAAGTTCCCCTGATCATCCTTTATGGGGCCAGTATGCTCTGACTTCGCTTTCTTGCTATTAATATATTTAAAAAATGTTGTTGGGATTTTTTTCACTCTCCTCTGTGTCTCTTTTGGTCTATTTTAGCTGCCCTGATTGTGCTCTTACATTTCTTATTGCATTCCTTGTAATGTTGGAAAGAAGACAATGACCTTTCGGCCTTACATATTTTTAATGGCCTTTTTTTCTTTTTATATGTCTTTTTTCCGTTAAGGTTTAGCCACCCAGGTTTACCCTTAGTTCTTTTATATTTGTTGCACATTGGAATTTTCTGACTAATACCTTTATTTAGTATGCTATTAAAACACTCTCATTTTTCCTCAGTGTTCATTGCTTCTAGAATTTGATCCCATTATATGAAGTTAGGCTTTAAATGGATGCAGGTTTCAATCATGTTAAGAGCAGATCTTCTGGATATACTGTACTAAGAGAAAGAAACGTGTCATTATTTGGTGTTTGTGCACAATCCCTCTGTACATACTGGATATAGTAGCACATGTAAATAGTTATAGAGGGATTGAGCTGCATCACATCTATTCAGCCTTCATTGCATGCAATGTGCTGTATCATTTATAGTCAGATAACTGCTGATCTTTGAGCTACAAAGCCTATGAGAATGCTAACACCTGATTGCAATATGACACAGCCACATCCCCATACCAACAGATCCCTGGGGACTGTACTAAGAGATATAGAAATAATATCCAAGAGCACAAAAGTGTTTGGCACTGAAAGTACAGAGGAACTATTCCAGAAATGAAAAAACTGCTCAGCAGTGAATTGTGTTTATGGTTGACAAAAATCAAAAAGATATGGGCAGCTGCCAGGGCAGGAACGATGGAATGGGCAGGCAGGCCTATGGTACGGTCACGCCACAACTGACGACAGCCACTACCCACAGACCAGAGTCCCTCAGGGCGCAGAGTCTAAGCCCCAGGCTACCCTTCACCAGGGCCCCTGATGGTGGGGATGGACTTGACGCAGCCTGAGACCAGGTCGCGGCCCCCGAGTAACCCCAGCTGCGGTAACGACTGCCGCCAATGGTGTACAGCTGGTGGGAGCTAGATGGGAACACGTGTAGGGTAGTCAGACAGGCCGTGTCAATAACAACGGAGCAGACAGTACTAGATGGTAGGCAAAGAATAGTCAAGTCACGGGGGGGGTTCAGCAACGGGAGGTCATCCAGATAAAGGGGTAAAGCAGAGAATAGTCTTGTCCAAGCCGAGTCAATCACCAGGAGAGCAACGAGAACAGAACCAGAGCTTGAGACAAGGAAACATACAGGACACAAATGCAGATGGGACTTGCAGACAGCAGGTTTAAATGTGCTCAACCACACCCTTCTGAGGAGGAGCCGCAAAAGCCTGAAGGCATAAAGGTTCCCACCATGCTTTGCAGAAATCCAAGATGGATGCCAGCACATGGAGATGCACAAACTCTGAAGAAAAGTAGGACCTTGACAGCAGTACAGTGGCTAAATGTTTAGCACTTCCTCCTGGCAGTACTAAGGTTGTTGGTTCAAATCCCACCCACGGCACCACCTGCCTGGAGTTTGCCTGTTCTCCCTGTGTGGTTTTCCTCTGGGTACTCCGGTTTCCTCCCACTATCCAAAGACATGCTGGTAGGTTGATTGGATCCTGTTTAAATTGGTCCTTTTACGTGTATGTATGAATGTAAGGCAGAGACTTTAGATTGTACGCCCCTTGAGGGTTAGGGACTGATGTGAATGTACAATATATATGTAAAGCGCTGCGTACATTGATGGCGCTATATAAGTACCTGAAATAAATAAAATATGTAGATATCCCCCTGGGACTTTATAGGGCAAAAACGTGCATACACCAGTATAAAACAATACATTTTTTATTACAAAAGTTTTTTTTGATGAAGAGAATCAGTAGATTCAATAACATCAAACTGCAGTACAACAATGCCTGACTCAAAAATTAGATAACATTGTACAGTATACAGTACATAACCTGACCTAATATTACATCAACTGGCAAGTGGGCTAGTGGCCCATATGGACTTGAACAATAATGGTAACCAGACAATCCAACACATTTCAGAACTCATGTTTCCTTCAGGAAATAAATATGTCAGGTCTATAACAAAACATCAAAGAAATACAAGTAGCATGGTAGACAGCATCCAGTTCAAAATGTGTAAATATGGCTGGTTGCTCATACACTTACAGATTATACTCCATCGAATATTGTTTTCAAGATGATCACAAAGAATTGGGTGAAGATGCCTCCCAAGTGACACGTCCGGGTAAAAGGAAGAAAATACATCCCGATATAGCACCCACCAGCAGGGACCACACTACAACAGGCGAATAAAGGATCTATGGAATATAAAAAAATCACATAAGATAAAAAAGATCCGATATTTGCTAGTCTTATTAAGAGAACTACATCATGTGTAACCCAAGGACAAAAATGCAAAAACTTTGCACAGATATGCTTGTCCATAACCTGATGTATTAACAAGCAAATATAATATAGGGATGAGAACCCACTCAGATTTAAAAAAAGAGGGAAAAAGTAAATTATAATCAAAATGCTCACCAATTGTAATATTTTGATATGCTATGGGGCCAGGTTGTGTCCATCCAGAGAGAGGGTGAGAGCAGACAGTGGCTAGTTTAAATAGTAATAACAATGAATGTGCATCAGCAATTGGTGCCAAATAGGTAGGGATAGACTGAATTTTGGAGATCCTCCGCTACACAAGAGTGGCCACATGGCCATCAGTGTGTTTGTGGTGGACATAGTCTCACTCTCAGAATATTTAAAATTCAAAAGAATACTTAGAGGTTTAAGACTACAAAAGCTTCCCACATTGGAAGATTGTGACTATAGTTTTGAAGAGAATTGAAATGCAATATTAAAGTGGTAATAAACCCAAAAATTTATAATGTAAAATAATGCAGTGTACCAATCATTAGATGTGGTGGCTGCATTAGTTTTCTTTTTTTAGGATTTTTTCCCTCTCTTTTCACCTTATGATCTGACCAGTAACACACCACCTGTATTAGGGTACCCCCAGTCTGGATGATGGAGCACAGGGGCACATTTTGACAGAAACTTTGTCAGTCTAGAGGGGAGGGAACTGTTAGATATGCTAGCAGATTGAAATATACAAACAAATTGAAGCCAAACTCCAGTTAACACTTTATAAGCAGTTACAGCAAACTGTTTTTGGGATTAAGATTTTACATAAATGAATAAAAGATGACCATTGTAAGTATTCCTGTCAGTGGTAAATGGTTTGTCTCATCGTTGTAACTAAACAAGAGAGCTTGTTCTTTTGATGATAATAGAGGAAAGAAAGCCTAAAAAGACAACTAAGGCAGCCACCACATTTAAGGATTGGTAAGATGCAATATAAAAAAGGATTGCTTTTAGGTTTAATACCACTTTAAGTGAGGTTCATTCGCGGACTGACAACTCATGGGGCCCCCCGGGCAATACGGGATCATGGGGCCCCCGTGTCCTTGCCCAAACTCAAAAAACCCTATGAAAAAGGTACCATTGGCATCTCATGGGGCCCCCTACTGACCCCAGGCCCTTGGGCAGTGCCTGAGTTTCCAAATGGTCAGTCCGCCCCTAGTGAGGTTTAATTTAAATGAATGAGACTAATTGTGCACTACAAAAGAATTTGCCTTACTGAGTCAGCCTGAAGGGCCTGGTAGGAAAAAGGGGGGGGGGGGTGATGCTTTTTTTTCCCTCCAATTAATGTCTATATTAGACCCTTATCTACAATGTAGGATAAAGGTCTGGTATAGATGAAAAGAATCCCCAACCAAATAGTAAAAAGCACCTGGAAGCTATAATTTTGTTGGCAATTTAAGCATCTTTTTTCTTTGTAATTGTTACTTTTTCTGTAGTAGGTTGTATGGATCTCACAGATGCACCACAGCAAGATCAGTGCATCCTCCAGGCATACTACTTTAACCACTTCAAGTCCGGACACTTTTACCCCCTTCCTGTTCAAGCCAATTTTCAGCTTTCAGCACTATCACACTTTGAATAACAATTGCGCGGTCATGCAACACTGTACCCATATGAAATATTTAGCATTTTTTTGAGACAGATACAACTCTATTTTGGTGGTATTTATTCACCACTGGGGTTTTTATTTTTTTGCTAAATAAATGAAAAAGACCAAACATTTTGAAAAAACTGTTTTTCTTATAACATTTGCAAATAAATAATCTTTATTCATAAATCTTGTCCAAAATGTATTCAGCTATCTTTTTTGGTAAAAAAATAACCAAGGTTAGTTTATAAGAATTTTTTTATAATTTTTCAAAAATGTTTTTTACATTTTTTATTTTATTTTTTTTTATATTATTATTTATGATTTTTTTTGTTTTACATACTGTCACCCTGGCAGTACAATGTCACCATAGTGACACTGCACTACTTGTGGGGGGTGATGTAGATTTTTTTTTTAAAGGCTGTACAAGCAATCATTTCTCTTTCTCTCTTGCTGCATTCCTGCAGCAATTGAGAAATACTGTGAGAGCTGTGATTGGTCACAGCTTGTCACATGGTACAAGGTTGTTGTGAATAGCCTTGTACCATGTGACCTCTGTGATCCTTCACATATTTCACTAGTAGTATACAATGATGTCAGACAGTGTTTAATACTGTTCATTAGAGATGAGCAAAGAAATGAACTGATTCGGCGAATTCGTGGACAATATTCGATTCGAGTCGAATAAATTCGCTGTGAATTTAACTTAAAAAAGGGTGTTTCTAGGCTTCAGAGAGACTTAATATTAGTGCAGAACACTGTACCTTTAATTTAAATGCCCTTGGAGTCTGCTGGGGAAGAGAAATAATACTGTCACTCAGTATGACATGCAGATGAGTGCCGTCGATCTTAGAATCACCGCACACTTCACTCATTTGGCCAGTCACGGGGCCAAAACCAGTGTTTGGAGCCACAGTGTGGCGGTGGAGGCAGCAGCAATGGGAGGCCATACAGCAACCTATGACAAAATGGAAACCAGCAGGAGTGTGAGGAGACCTGAAAGTGGCACATGCAGTGGGAGCAATGGGAGGCGGTACAAGGACCCATGTCACACTGTGGACCCAGCAGCAGCGTGACCAGGCGGTACGGGGGCCCATGGCAGATTACAGGCCTGGCAGCAGCAATGGGAGGCCCGTAATCTGCCAGCACCCTATGACAAAAAATGGAACACACCAGCAGTGTGTGAGGAGACCTGAAAGTGGCACATGGCAGAGTGTGGCGATGGAGACAGCAGCAATGGGAGGCCGTACAGGGACCCATGAGAGACTCTGGACCTGGCAGCAGCATGAGGAGGCGGTATAGGGGCCCATGGCAGATTAGGGGCCTGGCAGCAGCTATAGGAGGCCCGTAATCTGCCAGCACCCTATGACAAAAAATTGAACACACCAGCAGTGTGTGAGGAGACCTGAAAGTGGCACATGGCATGAGACACTCTGGACCTGGCAGCAGCATGAGGAGGCGGTATATAGGGGCCCATGGCAGATTAGGGGCCTGGCAGCAGCTATGGGAGGCCCGTAATCTGCCAGCACCCTATGTCAAAAAATTGAAAACACAAGCAGTGTGTGAGGAGACCTGAAAGTGGCACATGTTTGGGGCATGATTCATGGCGGATTTAGTCAGTTGTGTCAGGAACTAGTGGTTTGAAATCCAGACTAATCCACGCCTGATTCATTTTCACAAACGTGAGTCTCTCCACACTTTGGGTGGACAGTCGTGTCCTCCGCGGAGTTGCAATACCTCCTGCCGCACTAAACACGCGCTCCGATGCCACGCTACTGGCCGGGCATGACAGCCTTTCAAGGGCAAATTCAGCTAGTTGGGGTCAAAGGTCAAGTTTTGTTGCCCAGTAGTCAAGGGGATTGTCTACCTCGGTTGGCAGGGTGCTGTCCAAGTAGGCCTAAGCCTGTTGTTTGAGGTCCTGCTCCAGGTCCACCTGATGCTGCTGCTGCTGCGGCTGGTTAGTAGTTTCCTCACTGCGCTGGTGAAGAAAGCTACTCATCATCGACTGCAGACTGAGGCAGCCGCTGCTGGTGGAGCTGCCACTGCTCCTACCACCCCACCCCTCCCCTGCTGCCATGGCAGCGGAACGCGAGCGCACAGGGCCCACAGTGTCTGAGGATGGACGTTGGCGCAGAAAGGCAGAGACCAGCTGACTACATAGGTGGTTTTTATAGTACGTTATTTTGGCCTCCCTCTCAGCAGGTGTGAAAAAGGCCACCATTTTTGAACGGTAGCGAGGGTCCAACAAGGTGGACAGCCAAAAGTCATCCCTCTGTCTGATGGTTATTATTCGGCTGTCGCTACGCAAGCAAGCGAGCATGCTATGGGCCATTTGTGCCAAGGAATGCGAGGGACTCCCTACCTCCATCTCCACAGCATACTGCCACGGTGCGTCTGGGTCCTCTGTCTCCCTCCTCCTCCTCCTCCTCTACCAGATGCTCCTGCTCCTCCACTCCTGTCCGCTGAGTGGAAAAACCACCCATTTCACTCAATAATTCCTGAGCACCAATGTCCTCCTCTACCTCCTCCTCTTCTTCCTGTCCTGCCCCCACAGGGGTCATGTGGCGTTGAGATCTGTGCGCCACGTCTACCGCACCCTGACCAGCCATTGTTAACAGCATTTGTTCCAGGACGTGCAACAGAGGAATGACGTCGTTCATCCCATAGTCCTGCCGACTCACGAATAGCGTGGCCTCCTCAAAGGGCCTGAGCAAGCGCAGGTGTCACGCATGAGCTGCCAATGGCTGACATCTAAGTTACACAGGGAGTACCTTTATCCGCTTTTAACATCAGGAAATCTGTGATGGCCTTTCGCTGTTCGTAAAGGCGGTCTAACATATGTAGGGTTGAATTCCACCTTGTTGCAACGTCACAGCATGAGGAGTCGGTACGGGGGCCCATGGCAGATTACGTGCCTGGCAGCAGCGGCCTGGCAGCAGCTATAGGAGGCCCGTAATCTGCCAGCACCCTATGTCAAAAAATTCTACACACCAGCAGTGTGTGAGGAGACCTGAAAGTGGCACATGGCAGAGTGTGGCGATGGAGACAGCAGCAATGGGAGGCCGTACAGGGACCCTTTAGGACTCTGGACCTGGCAGCAGCATGA